TCTAAATTAAAAATGATAAAGTGATGTGGTCTAATCAAATGAAGAGTAGGTACGGTCAGTGGCGTAACCAGGAAATTTGGCGAGTGGGGGCAAACATGCACTACAATTTAGTCTCATATTTTACAAATAGCAAATGCCATTATTAATATTGTTTGATTTAATTTAGTTTAAGATATATATGTACAAGTATGTATGAATAAAAAGAAGATTAATTTATATTACGTGTGTAAAGATGTAATTACAGATAAAGTTTGAGAAAATTATCTAAATATAAGTTAAACATAACAAAATTTAGTGAATTTTTTAGTCTTTCATTCTTTTAATATGAAAGAAAACGTTCTTAATCCTGTTTTTAGATTTTTTTCTACATTTAACTCTTATTTTGAGCAATTTCTTATAAACATTTAGATATATATAGGGGTTGGGTTGGGGTTGAGTGGGGGCAGCCGCCCCCGCTGCCCCCATAGTGGATACGCCACTGGGTACGGTACCCCGTTTTTTAAAAAGGTACCGGAGTTGTCACCTAAAAATAATTGTAAAAGACGAAGCTATTTAAGAAATAAGTAGGCTGTTGCTCTTCTCAAAAAAGGCAGCCATAAATGCACATGTGAGGCTTAATTTGCATGTCCGCCATGTTTAAAGTGTAGTAGAAGAATATGCCTAAGAGATAATTATCCTAGTTATGACTAAAACTCCTCTACTTTCTAAATCTATGACCTAACTAATTTTTTTCCCAAAATAATATTTAAATATATAAAATTTAATTAATTTCGTAATTAATTAATTAATTAATAATTTTTATGGACTAATATACCCTTTAGGTTATACTTATAAAACCCTAACCTTCCACCTCTTTTCTTCAACACTAGCCTCTAGTCTCCAACCCTAATCGCACGGCCGCCTTCTATTCCCCGACTCGCCGCCCGACCGCCGCCGTCCAGTAGCACTACCGCCATCTTATAGCGCCGCCGCCTAGCCCCTCACCCCTTCCTCTCGCCTTCGCAAACCACACACGACTCCCAGAGCGTAGCTTGCCTTGTACCGTCATTGATGCCCTGATGTCGTAGGCCAAGGAGGCGCACTGGTCCATGGGCGGCCGCAACTACAACCACCACCGCCTTCAAGGTCGGACGCTCTAGGAATCTACAGAAGAGGAAGATGCAGTAGCTCTACCTGGCCTCCCCTACTGCTTTTGACCAATTTCGTATGGATGGCCATCGTGTTTTCGGTTAATCAATTTGGGGTTTATTGGTTTCGTTTGGTTTTTTGCTGTTGTTTTGAAATTAAGGTTTGTTATATTGAACATGGGGTTGGAGTAATTCGAGCAATAACGTAAAAATAGGGTTGGAGCAATTTGTTGGACATGAAGAAGGCTGTTGAAGGCTGTTGCGCTGGATGGATCCCTCCATTTTCATTCTTGCTTTTCTATTTTTAAAATTAGAAGTTTCTAAAATTAGGGTTTGTGAGCATTAAATATGGGCAGTGAATATGGGTAGTGACTAGTGAACATGATAGATATTGTTGAGTATGGTGAGTGAATTAAGGGTTGCTGGGCATTAAACATGGGCATTAGATATTGGCAGTGAATGAATGCATTAAAGAATTTTGTTGTGCAGTGATTGTGACCGGTGGTGCAATAACACAGAGCAGTAATGCCACCATGAAACACAATATACTTAATTAGACATAAATAATAAAATTATTAAATCCAAAAAAATAAAAATAAAAAATTATAAATAATTTCTAAAGTGAATGAGAAGAGAAGAAAATTAATTTTGGCGGAAGTGCAGTGATTATTACCGGATGTGCAGTAAATTCATGCATTAATTTAGTGCAGTAACTACAATATAAAGTGCAGTAATTTTAATTGGACGAAATTAGTGCAAAACGCATAAAATTTTAACCAGGGGTATTTTCGTCATTTAAAATTTAAATACAAACGAGTTCTTTATTTTTTTTGGGATTTTCGGTCATACAAAAGTTAAAAAACTAGTTAGGTCATAGATTGAGAAACTCATCGAGTTTTAGTCACATTCTAGTAAATTTCCCTATGCCTAACTGCCAAATACTTCTACTTTATAATTCCTAACAGCATTATTAACAGAACTATCAATACGTTACTAATATAAATATTTCCACCCGCCTCTCCACATCTAGCTTCATCCATAGAGAGCATTATTTACTAATATCATCTTTTATCCTACTCGGAATTCTTCCAAAGCTGTACTGACATGAAATTGGTATTTCTACATCGGTAATTATCATTGTCATCATAGCTATTTTTCTAATATAATTCTCCGTCCGTCCAGACAAAGATGGGTTTTCCAATGTATGATCTCCGGTGTCCGGCCACTATTTTTTTCTAACAAATACGGAGTACTACGTATCTTTTGTACTATTAGATTTTGTAATTATATACGTCGTAGTATATTGTTTTATATATATCGAACACATAGAGCCCGTTTGGTAGCACGAAAATCGGCTGTTGTGGCTGATTTTGCTGAAATTTATGAAGTTCTGGCTGAAGTGGTTGCATTGGCTGATTCTGCTGAAAATTATTTTTAAAATATATTTTATTAATAAAATAAAGAAAAATTTATATGTAAAAATAGCTAAAATAGTCATCTACAGTAACTTCAGCCAATACAGCCAGAAAAGTAATTCCAGCCTTACTTTTTCTGCTTATAACACAATTCAGCACGCGAAAACAAAAGTTAAGTGTTTGGCGAAAAAATTGATTGATAAGTCTGATAAGCCAAAAAACAACGTTGCCAAACGGTCTCATAATATACTATCATTTTTCATAGATCGGAAAGAAGAATGTAATATGATACGAGTAGCTATTATAAGAAATATGATCTCTATATATACATGCTTGGTCTTGAGATGTTTCCAACTTTTGGTTTGGCGAAGGATGTAATTAATTACTTAGAAATGAAGATGATCAAATTAAAGGATTGGAAATTTGGAATGTATTGATAAGAATAAGGAGGTGCTTATTATGCAATTCTCATTTTCAGTATGATTCATGTTGTTCATATATACTATGATTAAGAGGATCTAAATGGTGCACTTTAAATTCGATCGACTGGTAATAATTTGTGTATCAAATCAGTCATGCTACCTTATAGATTTTATTTTCCTATACAAAGTTACAAACTAAATATGTTATTTATGTTAAATAAGGCTGCATGGTGATGATTTGTGTAATACAAAATGAGAATTAAAAAGTGCCGATGAACTAAAGTACCCATGAACTGTAAGGGATAAAGCTTTTCTTTTTTACATGGGAAAGGAAATTCAACCTAATAAAACCTGGCAACGACTATATGTTCTGAATTTTGTGTTTTGAGCTTTCTTTTGGATTAAAAAAAACCATTTTGGTTGGATCTTGAACAACTCATTGAAACTGTAATATTTTTTAGATTTACGAAATAGAGTTTAAATTCGATATATGAATCAAAACTAACTTTAATTTTTTTAAATTAATTTGGAGTTGTATATTTTTTTGTCATATTTTATTTATACAAATTGAACAGAAAAAATACTTGGTTAATTTTTCTAAATAGGTGGAGGACCGAATACAGTAATAATCTTTTAATTTACTTTCAATGTAACAATGTTTTATGTAACGATGTTTTTTTTCTCACCACATGGATGATATGGGGGTGTTTGGTAAACGACATTTCAACCGAAAAATGGCGGTTTGCACTTTCAGCATTTTCAATAAGTGAAAAAGCTGTTTAGTAAATAGCGGTTCGGTACTAGCGTTTTTGAACGAAAACGCTGAAATGAGAACGCTACTAATAGTAGAGTTTTGGGTTGACGTTTTGAAAAATGGCATTTTTACTAATTTTATGGTCAAACAGTTTAATTACCAAACATCTTTTTACAACCCGCCAATTTATTCCGTTAGTCAAATTCGCTAACTGAATCCGCTATTGACAAGCCGCTAATATAATCCGCGATCCGACAACCGCTAACTGTTGAATGCCAAACACGCTCATTGTTTTGTATATGCCTTACAATCGGATCTGTTAAAAGCTGTTTAAAGGTTGTCTTGCGTATTTTATTGATATAATAAAAGCCATTTATCATTAAAAAATTATTTACTTTTGCTATAATTTATATTTGATATTTATATTTTATTATTATGACCAAATATATACTTATGGATAATTAATTAATGTAATAACTATAGAGACTATTTATTAACATGCTACTTATTTATATGGAATACAATTCTCCTCGCGCCCGTGCCCCGTGCATCGCACGGGTACTATACTAGTAATAATAATATAATCTAACAATGGTAATAATATAAATATTATGATATAATAATAATGTTATTATTATATTATTATTATATTATTATTGTTATAATAATAATAATATAACTTATTATTATAATATTAATATTGTTATAATTATAATTATAATTATAATGATGATTATAATTATAATCATTATTATTATTAATATTATTGTTTTTGTTGTTATTGTTGTAATTATTATTACTCCGGAGTAATTATATTTCTATTTTTAATTATAGATATAATTATAATTATAGAAATAAATGTTATAATTATAATTAAAATAATATTAATTATATAAGTAATTATAATTAAAAAAATATTTACATTTATAATTGTATCTATATTTATAATTAGTGTAATTGGTATAATTATTATAATTTTAAATTTAATTTTAATTATTGTTATATTTTTATAATTATGATTATAATTTTATCTAAGTTATATTTGTAATTACAACAACAACAATAATAATAATAATAATAATAATAATATTTACAATTATAGAAATATTCAAATCAGATAAAAAAGATTCAGATCAAACCAGATCAGATCAGAAGAATTCAGATCAGAAAGATTCAGATCAGATTAGATCAGAAAGATTAGATCAGATCAGAATTTAAAAAATTCAGATCAGATCAGAATTTATAAAATTGAGATAGCTTCCTACTCGCTCTTCCCAACTCCATACAGCTAAGCTGCATCAGAATTTATAAAATTGAGATAGCTTCCTACTCGCTCTTCCCAACTCCATACAGCTAAGCTGCACTTCTATTCTCAACTTTTAATCCACCATCCTCTTAATTTCTTCTTGTAATTATTGATTTAAGGGTGATTACTTCCAACCCCATACAGCTAAGATCTCTTCCATGGAAACGGCGAACACTTTGTGAGCAGTAGGGTCCGAAACTGTGCTTTGACCGGTTTATACGGCATTGGGCACATCCCGGTTTCCACATGCATCGAACCGGCCGGTCCGGTTTTTAAAACATAGCCTTCTTCCTGGGCTTCTCAAGATTCTTCTCCCCAGTTCCACCACTCCTCCTAGCTACAGGTATTTCACTTCTCTTCTCAGAATTTTATCTCCTTCAATATCTCTACCTTCCATTCATGTTCTGCTTTTGTTAATCGAGTGGGCATGGTTTATTTTCGCCACTCCTCCTAGCTACAGGTATTTTCACCGATTGCCTATGTCCAAGCCAGTTAGCTAGACATTCGGACTATGATATACTCTAGTATAATTCCATCTTACGAAGCATGGCATCAGTCTTTTATATACGGAGTAGTATTGTCTATATTCTTTTGTTAGCTCATATCTATATTGATAGATAGATAAATGAATTGAACTAGCACACATCCCATGCGTTGGAATCCATTGCTATCCATTTAATCCATTAAAATCTATTCAAATTCATTGAAATCCATATGATTCTAAGAAATAGAATTCCATAAGAATCTCAAGGAATCTATAGAAATCTATTAACAAATCCCTTAAAATCAACAAATCTATGTTGGGGACACCCCTTAGTCACTAAAGAATCTGGATTGACTAACTGTTAAGGGCCTTGGTACAAGATCTAGTCCAAGGTCGATGATTCTGAGAACGAGAAGAATATGAATCTATGGTGCCTGAAATATTAATCGACTCCTGCCCTCGGCAAAGAGTTTGTCGCAGGTTCCACCGTACGCCAAATAAAAATTAATATTCCAAAAGCTAATCTCATTAATCCAACTGATAAGCCTTAAATAGGCAAAAGACAAGTTTCCTAAAACAATAATAGGAAAGAAGCAATAAAGAGGCTCCTAAACTAGTATAAGGAAACCTGAATAAATAAACTCAAAGTAGGAAACTGATTTAATTAAACTAGACTCAAAGTAGGAAACTGATTTAATTAATTAAACTAGACTCAAAGTAGGAAACTGATTTAATTAATTAAAATAATGAGGATCTCTCAAGTTGATCCCTTCTTTGACCGCCTCTGGTAGACTCTGCCAAATCGACCCATATCATCACTCCCCCCGTTGACAACGAGCTTGTCCTCAAGATCGAAATTGGGAAAATTCTCACGGAAGGAATCCAATGTTTCCCATGTAGCCTCTTCCAAAAGTTGTCCTGCCCAGTGGACAAGTAGTTCCCAACTATTCTGATATGGACGAGCTTTCAAAATGGACAGAGGGCGGAGTGGGGGTGGCAGGCTATTCAGTTCTGGTAAGGTTCCCATGGTCGAAGGTGTCTCTCCTCTGTGCGGCTTGAGTAAAGAGACATGAAAGACGTCATGAATTTTGCTTGAGGGAGGAAGTATGAGGCGATAGGCAGCTTGCCCAATAGCTTCCTTTATCTGAAAGGGCCCATAAAACTTGGGTGAAAGCTTGTGAGTCTGCCTGATGAGTGACAATTGGCGATGTGGATGAATTCTGAGCCAAACCCAATCACCTGGGGTGAATGACAAATCCCGATGGCCCTTATCGTATTGAAGTTTCATACGTTGTTGAGCTTGGAGCAATCTGGTCTTGGCTATGGTGAGGATGGAGTCGCGGTCATTGAGCGCTTGGTCCACTGCGTCGAGCTTGGCAGTGCCGGGCGTGTAAGAAAGTAACTTGGGAGGGTCACGACCATACACTAACCTGAAAGGAGTATCACCTAAAGATGTATGGAATGATGTGTTGTAGCAATACTCCGCCCATGGGAGCCAACGAACCCAATCTCGTGGACAGTCGCCAGTAGTACAACGGAGGAACATTTCCAAGGTGCGGTTCACCACCTCAGTTTGACCATCTGTTTGAGGGTGGTAGGCCGAAGAAAATCGAAGTTGGGATCCACAAAGACGAAATAACTCACGCCAAAAGGAACTCACAAACACTTTATCGCGGTCAGATACAATTGATTCTGGAAGGCCATGGAGGCGAAAAATTTCAGAGAAAAAGACTGCTGCCACTGAAACAGCCGTAAATGGATGCGCTAGTGCAATGAAATGAGCAGCCTTAGATAATCGATCAACAACCACAAAAACAACAGATTTTCCCCGAACCTTGGGCAATCCCTCGATGAAGTCCATGGATATATCTGCCCAAATGTGATGAGGAATGGGCAGAGGCTGCAACAAACCTGCAGGTTGGAGGGTCAACCATTTGTGTTGTTGACACACTTGGCAATCCCGTACATGGTCAGTGATGGTCTTTTTCATGCCAGGCCAATAAAATTCGCGACGCACCCTCTGTAACGTCTTCGCAATACCTTCATGGGCCATGGAGTGGAACAAATTGACTATAGTTGGAACTGTGGCAAAAGATGGCAGTAAGTACACCTTATATTGGAAAAACAACAACCCCTCTCGATATGCCCACTCGGTTCCCAAGGCACCTTCGTCAAGCTGGCGTCGAAGAGCTCCAATTTCGGACGAGGCAGCTTGTTCCTTACGGATATCCTCAAGCAAAGTTGTATAAGGAATGGACAATGCTGCTAGGTGAGGGTGAGACTCGTCACGACGAGATAAGGCATCGGCAACCGTGTTGTACCGACCGGGTTTGTATTCTACCCGGAAATTATACCCCATCAACTTACTGAGCCAATGTTGTTGGGGAGAAGTCGTTAAGCGTTGCTCCAGTAAGTGTTTCAAGCTAGAATGATCGGTACGAATTAAAAATTCTTGCCCCCAGAGGTACGGTCGCCAATGGGTTACTGCCTTGGCCAACCCGATCAATTCCCGCTCGTATGCGGCCAATTTGATATGGCGATCTGCTATTTTGCGGCTGAAATACGCGACGGGATGACCCTCTTGTTGCAAAACTGCCCCAAAGCCACTCCCTGAGGCATCACATTCAATGACAAATGGAATTGAAAAGTTGGGCAGTTGAAGTACAGGAGCTGTAGCCAAGCAATGTTTAAGTTTGTTAAAGGCACCGGTGGCCTCCTCGGTCCAATGGAATGAATGTTTCTTTAAGAGTTGCGTGAGTGGCAAGGCAACCTCCCCATAATTTTTGATAAATTTACGATAGTAGCCGGCCAGGCCTAGAAACCCACGCAAGGCTGTTAATGTCCCTGGCAGAGGCCACTCTTGGATGGCTTTAACTTTATCCTGGTCAACCTTGACGCCTTTTTCGTGAATGATATGACCCAAATACTGCACACTATCTGTTCCAAAATAGCATTTGGAGCGTTTAAGAAATAGCCCATGTGCTCGGAGGATATCAAAAACTAAGCAAACATGATGGATATGCTCCACCCAGCTCTTACTATAGATTAAGATATCGTCGAAGAAGACGAGCACAAACTTCCGGAGATAAGGGCCAAAGATGTCATTCATTAGGCTTTGGAAGGTGGATGGGGCGTTAGTGAGGCCAAAAGGCATGACCAAGAACTCAAAATGACCATGGTGTGTGCGGAAAGCTGTTTTGGGAATGTCTTTGTGGGCCATTCGAATCTGGTGGTAGCCAGACCGGAGATCCAACTTTGTAAAAACTTTTGCCCCATGGAGCTCATCCAACAATTCATCGATCACCGGAATTGGGTATTTATCCTTTATTGTTTTATTGTTCAACTCTCTGTAGTCGACACAGAAACGCCACGAGTCATCATGCTTCTTAACCAAGAGCACTGGGGAAGAGAACGGCGAATGACTAGGTTGAATGATCCCTTGTTCTAACATCGCAGCACATTGTCGTTCAATCTCATCCTTTTGGAAGTATGGGTAACGGTAGGGGCGTACCACAACCGGGCCACAACCAGGAACTAAAGTAATGCGATGATCGCATGGCCGTGGAGGTGGCAGACCGCGCGGTTCCTGGAATAAATCCTTGAAGTTGCAGAGAATGCCTTCTATGGGTGAATGCTCGCGTGAAGTGGAAATTGCCATGTTTGCTGGTTTGCAGTAGGTCGGTGGTTTGCCCTGCCATATGACGGTTGCACCCTTCCAATGAAATTGCATAGACAGATTGTGAAAATTCCATATGATCGCGCCTAAGCCTCGTAACCACTGGACCCCCAAAATCATATCAAAACCAGCCATGGGAAGAACATAAAAATCAGCATGGAAGGGAACTCCCAACACCTCAAAAGTTAACTGAGGACAGCTACCCAAAATAGGAACCTTTTCGCCATTTGCCACCACCACAAATAAAGAATTTGCTGCGGGTGAACTGTACTCAAGTCCTTGAGCCAATCGTGCATGCACAAAATTATGCGTGCTCCCAGAGTCGACTAGAATCAGAATCGGTTTACCTCGCAAGGAAGCTGTAATTTGCATTGTTGTGGGTGAACTGGAACCTGACATGGCATTGAGGGACAAGGCAAAGTCAGAATCTATTGTTTCATCGCCTTCGTCATCCCAGATTTCCAAGGCAAAAAGCTGCTTGCAACGATGACCGCGAACATAACGTTCATCGCAATGATAGCAAAGACCTTTGGCTTGGCGACTCGCTGCCTCCGCTCTAGAAATCCGACGACGCCAAGTGGGAGGCTGTTGTGAGTCCTCAACAGTCTGCTTTGGATTTGTAGCAAGGAGGCTGGTCTGTGATGCAATATGCAGAGGGGATTGTCTTGGTTGAGGTCGTGTGGCTGGGAGTAGTGCCACAGATTGTTGTTTGCGCTCAATCTGCCTGGCCAGGTTCATGGCAACGTCCAAGCTTCCTGGAGCCTGATACTCAAGCTCCAAACGGATTTCCTGACGAAACCCTGCCATGAATGCGTTGACTTCAAACTGACTGGGTAATCCATCTACACGCGCCAACAGTTGCTGAAACAAACTAATGTATTCTTCTACTGTCCCCGTTTGTTTGAGTTGAAAAAGATCCCCCGAAGGGTTGGTGCTTAAAGGTGGTCCAAAACGAAGGAGACAGTTTTCAGAAAAGGTGTTCCACGATATACCTGCACACAGTTTATCTGCCCAGAGTTGAGCATCGCCTGTCATGTGAAAAGTAGCTAATCCGACACGTGCGATGGGAGCTGTCTGTTGATGTGAAAAAAATCGTTCACAACGCTTCAGCCAGCTTAGTGGGTCACTTGTACCATCATAGGTAGGAAAATCGAGTTTGGAATAACGGGGCACAATGTTATTCTCGCTACTGAATCGAGGGTGGTGTTCGCGAAACTCCCTATTATCACCATGGGATCCCGGGGGGCTGTTGCTGTTGGAGTCAGTTTGCGGATCTGTAGATTTACTAGTCAGGGCGGCAATCTGCGCGGAAAAAGATGTAACGAGATCTGTAATTTTTGCCTCAAGCGATCCTTGTCGCTGGTTAATATCTGCCATGAAGGTTTTGAGTGCCTCTGCGGTAACGTGTTCGTTCCCCATCGTCCTGGATGCTGATACCAAATTGTTAAGGGCCTTGGTACAAGATCTAGTCCAAGGTCGATGATTCTGAGAACGAGAAGAATATGAATCTATGGTGCCTGAAATATTAATCGACTCCTGCCCTCGGCAAAGAGTTTGTCGCAGGTTCCACCGTACGCCAAATAAAAATTAATATTCCAAAAGCTAATCTCATTAATCCAACTGATAAGCCTTAAATAGGCAAAAGACAAGTTTCCTAAAACAATAATAGGAAAGAAGCAATAAAGAGGCTCCTAAACTAGTATAAGGAAACCTGAATAAATAAACTCAAAGTAGGAAACTGATTTAATTAAACTAGACTCAAAGTAGGAAACTGATTTAATTAATTAAACTAGACTCAAAGTAGGAAACTGATTTAATTAATTAAAATAATGAGGATCTCTCAAGTTGATCCCTTCTTTGACCGCCTCTGGTAGACTCTGCCAAATCGACCCATATCACTAACATGATACATGAATAGGTTATTAATTTTTGTTGTCAATGATTGTTAACTTCTAAATCCATAACTTGCTCAACCAAACACTCTATGTCATCTGCTCCCTTGAAGGAACCCAAAAGCAGATCCAATAGCTAGCTGATGCGCCGATAGTTGAACCTCCCAGGGCCAGTCATGACAGATTCCAAGCACCCCCGCCTCGTCCTCCCCAACTTTTTATCTCTTGATCTCTGCAAGGTCATTTTCACTGCCACAAAATCAATTTCAGTGAAGAAAGGTAGACTCTGTTCATGTTTTTATCTACTGATTTTGTTTTTCCATTTGCAAATTGCAGGAATTGCAGTTTATTCATAAGAGCTGTTGCGCAGTTGGGTACAGAGCAAATGTCTTCTCAACAACCCTCTCTCATCTGATTGCTACTAACTGCGCTCATTTGATCATGCCCATTATTCCTATAAGAGGTTTCATTCTCACCTAAAGTATTAAAAAAGTCAATAATTGTGCACCAAATTTTGAAAAATGAAAGTCTATAATCAAAAGAAAAAACGACCTAAGAGCAAAAGAGAGCAATTTCCTTTTTTTTTTTTGCGAAAAAGAGAGAGCATTTTCCAGTTATTAAAATTGTTGTTTGGGTTGTTAGAGAGGCTGATGGATGAAGTGGAAGCATATTTTGGGTGCAACCTTGAACTGTATGTTGAATTCACTGGACTCTTAAGGTTAGTGTTATTGTTGTAGTTCAAAAACCATACGAGTATTGTTTTTTTAGATTTTCAAAGTATTTATTACTTTTCCTCAATATTCCCTTTTTCCTAAATTATTTTTTGTCCGAGTGAAATAATTTCAAGCCACCTTGATTAATGTTGAAGAATATACTTACTTTTGTATAATGCAAGTGACAAAAGTATATTTACTTTTGTGCTAGACATGGATGTATGTGATTGGTAACAGAGTACAAAAGAGTTTATATTGGGGACCAGTCCATACACTAAAAAAAGAAATAATAATGCAATTGGAAACAAGAGTATTATTACCATTACCATCAAGGCTACAGGCACTGTTACTCTTGCTATCACTATCATTGCCGCTGTCTCTGTCATTGTTGCTGCTATATTGTAGGATAACTGGATAAGGATCAGTTCGTAGGGTGTAATAAAATGTGATGTTAGATTATCAGTTTCTTAAATTGTTCAATTTTTTGTTCATTTTCTTGAGCGTCTGGTGGTGACTGATGAGTAAACGTGATGCCTCTAATGTAACACTCAGTTGGTGTAAAGGAGCTAGCATTGGTTGGCACAGTGACAACAACAAACCTTATCTTAAACAACGGGACTTTTCGGTGTGTTTCTTTTCCATCCATCTGATATGTTCTTCCCTTTTCTTTTTGGTTCCTATTGCATTTTATGTCCTGTCTATCTATTGCTTACTGATGAGTATTCATTTATGTTTTTGTGCTTTTGAAGGCAATTTGTTATTTGAATAGTTACGATGTGGACTTCAAAGGAGGGGTATTTCATTTTAAGGAAGGGGAGCCTGCTAACATCTTGCCTATGGCTGGTGTAAGTAATTTAATGCTCACTGAAAATTTATTTGAGTATTATTTTATTTCTATACATGATTCTCCCTCTATTCAAAAATGAAAATTACATCTTTCCATTTTGAGATGTCCCAAATTTTAAGTAACATTTCCGTTTTTGGCAATCACTTTGGGTTAAAAACTTAAAATTTCTATTTGAACCTTTTTCGGTTTTAAATCTACAAATTTAGCTCTACCCTTTTCCTCCCATAGCTATACCCAGAAAATAATTATTAAGGTTAAGCTGTCATTCTATCAAACTTTCCTGATTTTGAGTCCAAAATGTTTGACAATTTCATTTTGGGACAAGGAAGTATAAGTTTCCCTTTTCTTACAAGGTTGCAACCTCCTTATGTACCGTAGTAAATGTGATTGAAATAAGTCCAGGTGTTCACAATTGAACAATTAAGCAATGATTGAATAAAGCGTTTCTTAGATTTGAATGTCAACACGATGATGTGAACGTTTTTCTTACGAGTAAATATTTTTTCTTGAACTCTACAATGAAACTTTCATTTGAGTCATGCATTTACCTCTTATTTTTATCGTTAGTCATTGTTATCTTGTTACAGATTATTTATTAATGTAAGATTATAAGAGTGTATCAGGATGCCATTTTGTACACAGCCGATGACCGAAATATCCACTGTGTTGATGAGGTAACACTTATTTTGTGCCATGCCTCAGTAAATACGTTAAGTTGAGCTGATTACATTGGCCTTGTAATATATGGTGCACAATCATATGCACTCACAACACGATGGGTTCAACAACTTTTCTACTTGAGATAAATTTTCTTTATTTTAAAAGTAAACAAGTTTCAACTATGTTGAAGTATTTCTCACTTCAATGAAATATGAACTATTAAATTATATCAGATTTGAAAAGTCTGACAAACCTTGTTAGACTATCAGGTTGAATCCTAGGTTTTAACAAATAATTATAATTATCAAGCTTGTTTTTACTGATTCATGGCTTCACTTGAATCCACATAATCTTTGCTACTTTTGTGTTGGCTAATCAGATTTATTTACGACTTTGGAGGAAAAATTGGCCTTTTCAATGCCTAATACAGTCCCCTATATTTGGGTAGTCAGAATGGACCAATGGATAGGAACAATGGACAGTCTCTAACTTATTTTTTCGAGTTACAAAAACTTCACCTTTACATTTTTCTTCATAAGTTGATATATGAAAAATCACCTATTAGTTTTTATATAATTGTATCTTGTGTATCAGTATTGATGTAACATTTCCTTGTCAAGTGATAAAAATTAGTTTTTAATTTCAAACATTGCATATCAAGGCCGTCTTGGTACCTACCTCTGGACCCATTACTAGTCTAGGACTGGTTGACCGGTTCGTGATCCCAAATAAATAATTAGCCAATTCCGATCTGATTTTCGAACTAGATCTATGTGTACTTCTGACGAGTAGAAGACGGATAAAGAAGTCCATAGAAATCTTTGGTGAGGAGAACAAACAATTGTAGAGAACTAATGTACTAAAAATTGAGTTAAAAGTCCATGACAATTCATAGTTTTAAAATTTCATAGGAATGAATGAAAGTTTGAATACACATAAACTTTGTTAGACTTTTAAAAATCTATAGTGAATACACCTAGACTTCTTTAGACAGTGTAAAGTATACATTGAGTACACGTACTAAACTTTTACAATCCATGGACTAAAAAATTCGCTACTAATTCCTTATACAATGCACTCTTTATTCTTTACAGAAATATTGATTTCTTGAGTTTAAAACTTTTTTTCTCCTCTCCCCCTTTAACTTCATTTTTCAAGTTACAGAAGCATTCTTGCCCCCAAAATATTTTGTACAAGCAGGTAATAGATGGCGAGCGCATAACACTCACTCTATGGTTTAGCCGTGATGCATCTCATGATGAAGATTCCAAACTCATCTCACTTCTCTCAGAAATTTCGGTGCACAATTTTAATGACAAATGTGATTCAATTTTACCAATTCCAGCGCCCATTAATATGCATTGGTTCCCTCCAGAAGAAGACATAGAGTACTCTTCATCGGGATTTGATATACGGTGTGGAAGGTTGCATGTTATGGGGTTTGAGCTTTACTCATCTCTGGGCGTATGCTTATGCTCTCCATCAGAAGATTCCTCCAGAAGTTTGTTAAAATTACTCCAAGAACCTCTCCAACTGGCACGAATGGACGAGTTGTCTTCTATCAAATTTGCAAATGTATCGCATGCCCTTCAGGTACCATTTGTTGCTTATATAAGGCCCTGTTTAGGTCGGTGGCTATAGAGGACTTAGAGAAGTATTCAAAGTTGTTATAAGATTTATAACCACATTTGGGATTAGATTTGGATGTTGTTGCTGTTGTATTATAACGGCATTACTTAAACTTTCAATTTGATAGAGTTGTCATTTGTGTGTGGCCTGGGTTCTAGTGGCAATGTTGTTTAACATGCTTTTGGTTCACCACAATGCTCTTTCATGATAAAATATTCCAATTTTCTTAATGGCATTAAAGGTTCATTTTATTAAAAAATTGCCACACATATAGAGCCATTAAATCTCAAACCGAATGTACATATAATATGTACTCCCCACGTCCTATTCAACCCTTGAAGATTCACGTGGTTGGATTTTTTTTGTTCTCTAATTTTTAGTAATGTATACTTTCTTTATATCAAATTTGGATTCATTTTTTGCACTTCAATAAAAAAAATATGTGTGTGCTGGAAAATGGGATTTTATTAATTAAAACAAATTGTTATTTTGTAGGTTTTGCCTGTGGGGATTGACATGTTTGCATAAAATCAAAGCATAACATCTTGAGGAAAAAGACATTTTGGGATTCTAACATACCCTATCTAATGACACTTACAAGTTCTTCAATTAAAGTCTTTTTGTAGCTATAAGAAAATTATGTTGCTTGGCATGAACATATATATACATATATTTGTGTACATAGTTATGATTTTTACATTTATATGATTTCGTGACCATGGTTTTACTTCAGGTGGTGCTATTTTATTTTTGGAAGTTCTTGGATTTGAGGATTGAACAGAAAATGACACCTGCCAAGGTGACCCTGATATATGAAATGCAAAGAGCACACATAAATGATTTGAAACACATTTATGTGAGGGATGCCCAAGTGGCAAAGACACTGTTTGGGCTCCAATCAGCTCTCAAGGACATTCAAAATGAATTTGATTGGGCTAGCTTTTCTTCTGCAGTTTCTGAATGGGAAGACTATACTTGCAAGTTGCACAACGAACTTCTTTTGAGCTTATCGCAGTGGAGGTCTCATCAATTTATTTTCTATTCTCCACATGCAAAACTTGAATAGCAATGAATTGTATATACATGTTTGGTCCTTAGCATGTCAACACACTTCTATTCAAGTTTTGCATGTGAAGAACAAAAATAAATTGATGAGACCTCTGCTGTGATAAGCTCAAAAGAAATTCGTTGTGCAAACCTGCAAGTATAGTCTTCCCATTTAGTATCCGCAGAAGAAAAGCTAGCCCAATCATTTTGGATGTCCTTCTGCAGTTACTGAATGGGAAGGTTATACTTGCATGTTGCACAACGAACTTCTTTTGAACTTATCACAGTGAAGGTCTCACCAATTTATTTTTTGTTATCCACATGCAAAACTCGAATAACATTGTATTGTCATGCTAAGGACCAAACATGTATATACAATCCGTTGCATTTCAAGTTTTGCAGTGTAGAACAAAAAACAAATTGATGAGACCTCCACCGTGATAAGCTCAAAAGAAGTTCGTTGTGCAACATGCAAGTATAGTCTTCCCATTTAGAAACTGCAGAAGAGAAACTAACCCAATCACCTCTCAAGGACATCCAAAATAAATTTGATTGGGCTAACTTCTCTTCTACGGTTTCCGTTTCTGAATGGAAAGATTATACTTGCAGATTGCACAACGAACTTCTTTGGAGCTTATCATAGTGGAGGCCTTATCGATTTATTTTTTGTTCTCCATATGCAAAACTTGAATAGCATTGAATTGTATAATCATGTTTGGTCCTTAGGATGACAATACAATTTTATGTACAATGTTGGGTGAGATTGTCTTAATTAGAAGTAATATGTTTACGTTTTCCATAAATAGAACCATATATTCAAGTATTTCTTTTTAGGAGTGAATAGCTATGAACATATCCATCTCCTTGATTTAAGGAAAAATGGTTAAATCAGCCCACATATTATTTTGAAAAAGTCAATGGAGTCCATGTAGTATTTTATCAATCAATTAAGTATACAAAGCCTTCAATTTTGCCATTAAATATTTCTTTTTGTACTGCTTTTTTCTTTTCGTTTCCCCTTCTTTTCTCTTTTCTATTTCTTTCTTCCTTTTTTCTCTTGCTCGTGCTATTCATTAGTCCCTCTTTTCTTTTTCCCTTCTTCTCCCTGCAACTCCTTCTCCCATCTTCTTCATCCCTACTGCATCTACCTAATGGCCTCACTCACCTTCATTCTTTCGAGTAGTTCAACCCCTTCTTCTTCCCTTCTTATTATTTTCTCATTCTTTCTTTTCTTCTCCACTCTATTTCTTCTACCCCACCCAACCTTCTATCCCCCCTTCTTTCATGCCCAGAGAAGGTGACTATGGCAACATGATGACAGCCCTTGCTCTTCTTCAATGGCAACATGTGGTGACGGAGAAGGCAACATCAACGGCAGTGATTGACGGTGATGGCGGCTACAGAGATCGTCGACGATAGAAACACAGAAAGGTAGAAAGAAAAAAAGCTAGAGGGGGAAGAAGGAAGAAAAAAGAGAAGAGAACAAAGAAAGAAAAAAGAAGAGAAATAGGAAAAAGGGGAAAAAACTTGCAGGGAATTGGAGAATGAAGAAGAAAAATTTTTTAAAAAAGGAAAAAGATTATCTAATGCCATACAAACGGCCAAATCATCACTTAGAGGGAAAAAAGGCACATGGATGATACACGCAGGTTGTATAAAAACCGATCAATTATTATCACCAAAAGGGAAATTTGGTCGTCTTTTGACATTTTGTAGACTTAATTGATTACATAAATAGTACATGAACTCAATTAATTTTTTCTAAATAATAGGTGGATAGTGGATTGATTTGAAGTTTTTTAAAACGAGGCAACTTTATGAAGGTCAGAAAGTTGATTCAACCATCAACGTAAGATCGGAAAATTATTTGAGATTGCGTCTCATGAAGAATGACACCGATAATTTAATTTTGTTGTTGATTAGACTAATGGTTGGAAGATTTTGTGGTTAAAACAATTTGTTTGATTGAGAAAACTAGGTTACCTAATTGCAACTTAAATGACAATGGTTTGTATACATCTTATTTTAAAATCTTATAATGATCAATGAGAGTTAGGGTATTTTAGAGATAAGAAAAATGTTGGTGTAATCATTTAGCTTAATGAGATGGTACTATACGTTTTACCATCTGTACTCTATTAAAGAAATCTAATTTTCCATTTTATTTCTGTCCAATTGCCCTCTCCATTACACGTGCCTTTGTTATCGTCACAGCGTCAGTAAGTACACCTTCCGTTTCCTTCGTCCCAGCTGCTCCCAAACTTGCGGTCACATAGTTAACCCCATCTGAAACTCCGCCCTTCTGTTTGTTTTTAGAGAGAATTCCCTAAATAGGACTAAAAGAAGGTAGAATTGCAAAAATAGGATCACTATGTTTAATTAGACAAAATTAGGACTAAAAATGGCTAATCTGACAATAATACCCTTAATGAAAAATTAAAAGATCGCAGGGGTTTGTGATCGCAGTGGTCTGTGCGAGTTCCGTTCATGTGTGTGCTTCCAAGAGTCGATGCCTCCAATGACGCCTCCGCCACCCTCCATCAAGTCTGCCACCACCGCCCCTTAGTGAGTACGCTTCCATCATCCTCCCACAAGGATCTTCCCCCCAATGAGTTTGTGCAGACCTCCATGAGAAATGACACTTAATATGCAAGAATGACACTTAATATGCATAATGACACAATAATGACAATTTTAAATAGAAACATGAAATTCTCAATATGACATTTCCAAATACTGTAATGACACAAAAGTGCCATGTTTAAAAAATAACCAATAAAGATGACATTCTTTGATTCAAAAAGTGACATTTTCTTGAATATCTTAGTCAATGCATTTTGAGATTCAAATTAAAAAAGAAAGAAGAGAACCAAGAACAGAGTTGTGACATAACCATGACATTCTCATATAAAAAATGACATTTGCTTCTATAAAAATATATAAATTTTAGATTTAAACAAATGTATTTTCACATTGATAGTTGTGGCATTTTTCATAGGAAATTATGTAATAAAACTGACATCTTTATATGTTTAATGTCATGAAACTGATAGTTGTGGCATTTTTCTAATACATAGTAGTTATGATATTCTCATATTTCAAATCAATCAAAATTGATAAATAAATAAAAATTCAAACTCATTTCTTTCACTTTGTTGTTCATAAAAATTTGGCTCTTCATCTGAAATTTTCAAATCCAAAATTTTATTTTGGAATTTGAAAGTAATCAGAGTAATTGACAAAACAAAAGCAGAGAATCAGGAAGAAGAAAGAAGTGAAGAAGGAGGAAGAGAAGATGAAGAAGAGGAGGAAGAAGATGAAAAAGAAGAGGAAGATTACCTGATCTACTTCGTCGGAGAAATCGTAAAACACATGTGTGGCTGGCTTAAATCCATGGCGGAGAAGTTGTTGTCCTGATCCATGACAGATTCGCAGGGGAGGGGCTGCAATCGATGGAGGTGTCGGTCGATGGGGAGGGAGAAATCGCAGGCGTTGGGAGGAGAAGAGTCGATCAATAAATTTGGGGATAAGGGGTATAAATGTAATGTGGAGTCCTATTTAGGGAATTTAAAACTTAAACTCCTACTTTGAAATTTTAAGCATGTTTTAGTCCTATTTGGGTCAATTACTTTTGTTTTTATTGGTAGGTTGCTAGCACTAGACTACTGGAGGTTTGGTGGCTACACTAAAAGTGTTTGATGAAATGCCAGAAAGGGTTTGAGGAAGCAGTCCAACTCAGTTGGTCGCCGACTCACTCTCCCTTATTGGAAGTCTCGGGTTCGAAACTCAATGAAGTGAGTGAGTTTCAGCCCAAATTACTCCAGGCCCTCCAAGACTCTCCCACTGACGCAGCCTGGAGTAAAAAAGGAAATTGTTAAAAAAAAGAAATGCCAGAAAGGGATTTGGTGTCGCGGAAACCATTATCAGGGTATTCTCTAACAATACTTGCTTCTACGACGCACTTAGAGTGTTCAAGGAAATGTTATCTTTGTCAGAGGTTAAGCCAAACACAGTTACTGTGGTAAGCATGTTGCCTGTTTGTTGAGCGCTCAAGTATGGCGATATGTGTGGAGAGATTCATTGTTATATCTTCAAAGTTGGTTAAGATACTCAACTTAGCATTGGGAATGCATTAATTGATGCTTATTGTAAGCGCAGAGAGGTGGAAGCCTCGAATAACACCTTTGATGAGATGATTGAAAGGAACAATGTCTCATGGGATGCGATTATTGTTATTTTTTGGTTGTAATGACTGTTATAAACAAGCAATTATTAGTTTAAGGTTGATGATTAATGATCACATGGATTTAAACTCCACTACAATCTCAAGCATTCTGCCAATCTTGACCGAACTAGGCTATTTTTGCAAGGGAAGGGAAGATCACGGTTTCTAAATCCGGATGTTAACGGAAGCATGCATCCAATGTATTTTATAATAATAACTATTGTACTACCCGTGCAATGCACGGAGTAAAGTTATTTAAATTGTTATGTTATATCTTCTCGTAACATTTATATCTTGTCGTTTAAAAGTATGTGCGATTAAGAATAGTGAAGGGAAATATAAATTATTGAGAGTATGATGTGAAGATAATAGAATAGTGTACTGGAATGAAGGATAATTCGAATAATAAAGTAGTTGTAATAGTGTATTATTTTCAAAATTATTGGGCGTATGATTGGAAGATTTAGAAATGAGAAGATATAACTGTCACAGCCAAAAAAGAAAAATGAAAAATATGAATGTTACGGAGGAAGCATAAAAATAGCTAATAATAATAATAATAATAATATTTCAAGACATTTATAAAATATTATAAATGTCTTTCTTGGCTAGCCACCGCGTCTTTTATTTGTTGGAGGTGCTTTGTCCAGCGGCGAGCTTTCTTGGCTAGCCATCGCGTCTTTTATTTGTTGAAGGTGCTTTTCGTTTAGAGTATTGACGGACAACAAGGTGAAGGCTTCGGTCTTGCTTCGAATTGGGCGTGTTGCTTGAAGACTAATGCGACATCGGTATAAGCCCGCTTTGTCGGCGGATATGGAGGTGGAAGCGAGTTTTGGATTTTCGTTTGAGTTTTTTCTTTTCGGTCTGGGAAGCTTTGTGGACAAAGAAGAACTGGATCTGAATAAAGCTGATGTTGAAGTTGTGGCGGATGAACGGCGGGCGCGTCCCCCTCCCGAGCCGCCGCCGTGGAGTGCAAGCAAATCTAGGGTTTGGAAGAAGATGAGTGATTTCTATTTTAATTTGGTTTTATTCAGTTTGTGTTTTTCTGTCGAATTGTATGTTGTTTGGTCCTGTTTTGGTATTTGCTTTTTCGTTTATTTTCCAGTTTGTAAGACGTTGCTTTTGGATATGGGGGTGGGGGGGTGGGGGTGAGAGGAATATGGTAACCGTTTATGGCTTTTTGTTTCCCGGTTATGGATCAACGAATTTTATTGCTACGGCGATTAATTCTGAGTCTGATTCGAGGGATAACGATTATCAATTTTCTTTTTGTCAGTTGACCCATACTCTGAATTATTGGTTATTAATCTAAGCCGAATTCAGTAAAAAAAAAAATGTACCGTATGCACATGTAGAGGGTCATTGTGTCATTTCACGATAGTTCTATTTGTAATACCAAGCCCCTTAATTAATGTCCCAACTTTGTGATTGGTTAATTAATAGCCCTTAATTTGTTTTTTAACATAAAGAGTATCTTTTTTTGTAAGGTTTATCCTCTTCCATTTTTTTGAACCTATTAGGCAAATCACCAAAATTAGGGATGAGCAAAAATGCGGACCAACATGGTACCAAACCGGATCGATATGATCCAAACTGAGAAATGTGGTTTGGAACGGATATCAATTTTTTGTCCTTGGATCACACTGGTTCCAAACCATGTCATGACCGGTTTTCATAAAATGAGAACCGTTATCAGACCGAAGTATGGTTTAA